CAAGACCCCCCAGACCCCCCCAAGACCCCCAGCCCTCACCGCTGGGTTTCAGGTATTTCTTGGCGTGCAGGTAACTCTCGAGCATTCGCTCGTTGAACAGCATGTACCCCATGGGCTCCGAGATAATGATATCCACCTATTAGCGTTAATTAGCGGCGTTAATTAACGAACAGCGCGTACCCCATGGGCTCCGAGATAATGATATCCACCTATTAGCGTTAATTAGCGGCGTTAATTAACGAACAGCGCGTACCCCATGGGCTCCGAGATAATGATATCCACCTATTAGCGTTAATTAGCGGCGTTAATTAACGAACAGCGCGTACCCCATGGGCTCCGAGATAATGATATCCACCTATTAGCGTTAATTAGCGGCGTTAATTAACGAACAGCGCGTACCCCATGGGCTCCGAGATAATGATATCCACCTATTAGCGTTAATTAGCGGCGTTAATTAACGAACAGCGCGTACCCCATGGGCTCCGAGATAATGATATCCACCTATTAGCGTTAATTAGCGGCGTTAATTAACGAACAGCGCGTACCCCATGGGCTCCGAGATAATGATATCCACCTATTAGCGTTAATTAGCGGCGTTAATTAACGAACAGCGCGTACCCCATGGGCTCCGAGATAATGATATCCACCTATTAGCGTTAATTAGCGGCGTTAATTAACGAACAGCGCGTACCCCATGGGCTCCGAGATAATGATATCCACCTATTAGCGTTAATTAGCGGCGTTAATTAACGAACAGCGCGTACCCCATGGGCTCCGAGATAATGATATCCACCTATTAGCGTTAATTAGCGGCGTTAATTAACGAACAGCGCGTACCCCATGGGCTCCGAGATAATGATATCCACCTATTAGCGTTAATTAGCGGCGTTAATTAACGAACAGCGCGTACCCCATGGGCTCCGAGATAATGATATCCACCTATTAGCGTTAATTAGCGGCGTTAATTAACGAACAGCGCGTACCCCATGGGCTCCGAGATAATGATATCCACCTATTAGCGTTAATTAGCGGCGTTAATTAACGAACAGCGCGTACCCCATGGGCTCCGAGATAATGATATCCACCTATTAGCGTTAATTAGCGGCGTTAATTAACGAACAGCGCGTACCCCATGGGCTCCGAGATAATGATATCCACCTATTAGCGTTAATTAGCGGCGTTAATTAACGAACAGCGCGTACCCCATGGGCTCCGAGATAATGATATCCACCTATTAGCGTTAATTAGCGGCGTTAATTAACGAACAGCGCGTACCCCATGGGCTCCGAGATAATGATATCCACCTATTAGCGTTAATTAGCGGCGTTAATTAATGATGGTAATTAATTAACATTAATCGTGTTAATTAATAATCATATTATATAATTAATTGTATTATATAATTATTATTATATATATTATATATAATAACTATTAGTATTAATTAACATTAATGTTATAATTAACATTATAATGGTGTTAATAAGACCATTAGCACTGTTAATTAGCATCGTTAATAAATGATGCTAACATTAATTACATTAATTATTAATTATACTATATAATTAATTATACTATATAATTATTATACATATTATATAATATATAACAATATTTACTAATTATATTAATTAACAGTAATGTTATAATTAACATTATAATGGTGTTGATAAGAGCATGAGCATCGTAAATTAGCATCGTTAATTAAGGATGTTAATTAGCATTAATTGCATTAATTATTAATTATATTATATAATTAATTATATTACATAATTATAATATATATTATATATAATAATAATTATTAATTATATTAACATTATAAGTAACATCATAATGATGCTAATTAATAAGAACATTAGCACAATTATGCGAATTAGCATTAATTACATTAATTATTAATTACATTTTATATAATTATACATTATATACATTATATTCTATACAACAACAGCTAATCACACTATTTAACATCGACGTCACAACTAACACGACCCCGGTAATTACCGACAGCGTCCGCGTCGTTAATGAGCATCGTTAATTAGCCGCGCTACCTGCGGGCGCTCAGACGGATTCCGTCGGTTAATTAGTAGCGGTAATTAAGGAAGGGCGGAGGGCACCGGCTCTGGTTTGCGCTCACCTGCTCCGGCAGCGTCACCTCCTCCACCTTGCCCGGGATCACCACGATCCGCTCGCTCAGGTTGTTGCTCTTCACCAGCACCTGCGGGAGGGAGCGCGCTCAATCGCGCCTGGGGGATCCCTGCAGCCCTCGGGGGGATCCCTGCAGCCCTCTGGATCCCTCTGGGGGATCCCTGCAGCCCTCTGGGGGATCCCTGCAGCCCTCTGGATCCCTCTGGATCCCCCATGAGCCCCCTGCAGCCCTCGGGGGGATCCCTGCAGCCCTCTGGGGGATCCCTGCAGCCCTCGGGGGGATCCCTGCAGCCCTCTGGATCCCTCTGGATCCCCCATGGGACCCCTGCAGCCCTCGGGGGGATCCCTGCAGCCCTCTGGATCCCTGCAGCCCTCTGGGGGATCCCTGCAGCCCTCGGGGGGATCCCTGCAGCCCTCGGGGGGATCCCTGCAGCCCTCGGGGGGATCCCTGCAGCCCTCTGGATCCCTCTGGATCCCTCTGGATCCCCCTGCAGCCCTCTGGGGGATCCCTGCAGCCCTCGGGGGGATCCCTGCAGCCCTCGGGGGGATCCCTGCAGCCCTCTGGGTCCTCCTGGATCCTCCTGGATCCCCCATGAGCCCTCTGGATCCCTCTGGATCCCTCTGGATCCCTCTGGATCCTCCTGGAGCCTCCTGGAGCCCTCTGGATCCCCCTGGAGCCTCCTGGGTCCTCCTGGATCCTCCTGGATCCCCCATGAGCCCTCTGGATCCCTCTGGATCCCTCTGGATCCCTCTGGATCCTCCTGGAGCCTCCTGGATCCCTCTGGATCCCTCTGGATCCTCCTGGAGCCTCCTGGAGCCCTCTGGATCCCCCTGGAGCCTCCTGGAGCCCTCTGGATCCTCCTGGATCCCTCTGGATCCCTCTGGAGCCCCCTGGATCCCCCATGAACCCCCTGGAGCCCTCTGGATCCTCCTGGATCAATCTGGATCCTCCTGGATCCCTCTGGATCCCTCTGGATCCCCCCTGGAATGGTGAGGAGCCTCCAGCAACACCTGCAGGAGGGAGCGGGGTCAATCCCGCCTCGGGGGATCCCACGTCCCCCCTGGGGGATCCCTGCAGCCCTCTGGGTCCTCCTGGATCCCTCTGGATCCACCATGAGCCCCCTGGAGCCCTCTGGATCCCCCTGGATCCTCCTGGATCAATCTGGATCCTCCTGGATCCCCCATGAGCCCTCTGGATCCTCCTGGATCCCTCTGGGTCCCTCTGGATCCCCCATGAGCCCTCTGGATCCCCCCTGGAATGGTGAGGAGCCTCCAGCAACACCTGCAGGAGGGAACGGGGATCAAACCAGGTTTGGGGGATCCCAGATCCCCCCTGGGGGATCCCTGGATCCTCCTGGAGCCCCCCAGATCCCCCTGGATCCTCCTGGATCCCCCTGGATCTCTCTGGATCCCCCCTGGATCCCTCTGGATCCCTCTGGATCCCCCTGGATCCCTCTGGATCCTCCCTGGATCCCCCCTGGATCCCCCCTGGATCCTCCTGGAGCCCTCTGGATCCTCCTGGATCCCCCATGAGCCCTCTGGATCCCTCTGGATCCTCCTGGATCCCTCTGGATCCTCCATGAGCCCTCTGGATCCCCCTGGAGCCCTCTGGATCCCCCTGCAGCCCTCTGGATCCTCCTGGATGCCTCTGGATGCCTCTGGATCCCCCTGGATCCTCCTGGATCCCCCTGGATCCCCCTGGATCCCTCTGGAATTCTGAGGAGCCTCCAGCAACACCTGGAGGAAACATCTGGAGGAGGAGCTGGGACTGGGAACGGGGATCAAACCAGGTTTGGGTGATCCCAGATTCCCTCTGGATCCTCCTGGAATTCTGGGGATCCTCTGGAATCCCGGGAATGTTCCGGAATCCCGGGAATGTTCCAGAATCCCGGGAATGCTCCAGAATCCCGGGAATGCTCTGGAATCCCGGGAATGTTCTGGAATCCCAGGAATGTTCTGGAATCCCGGGAATGCTCCGGAATCCCGGGAATGTTCCGGAATCCCGGGAATGTTCCGGAATCCCGGGAATGTTCCGGAATCCCGGGAATGCTCTGGAATCCCGGGAATGTTCTGGAATCCCGGGAATGCTCTGGAATCCCAGGAACGGCCGGGAATGTTCCGGAATCCCAGGAATGTTTGTTCTGGAATCCCGGGAATGTTCCGGAATGCCGGGAAAGTTCCGGAATGCCGGGAACGGCCGGGAATGTTCCGGAATGCCGGGAATGTTTGTTCCAGAATGCCGGGCATGTTTGTTCCGGAATGCCGGGAATGTTTGCTCCGGAATGC